CAGTCGACCACTACCGACAACTCATCTAAAAAATTTTTACCACCACAACCGGACGCAGGACTACCAGTGAACACCAACCTACCAACAAACATAGAGTTCTTGAGCGCCATGAATACACCCGGAATACCTGAAAACCTACCCTGAAGAGTCAGCTCGTGCCATTAACGCAGATGTGGAAGGAGAGAAATGTATCCACCGCTTGGAAGGATGAATACCTCGTGGGACTTTCGAAGAGGAGCTTTTGCAAGAACTTGTGCGGAATCGTTCTCCTGTCCACCCCAAGTAAAATATTATGCTGCATCACTATGGGAAGACTAAAAGGTACTCTGGATAGAAGGCTTCTTCAGAAACATATGAATTCAGGGAAAACAAGCAATGCACAAACCAAATAGTAACACTATCGATCAAAACCTAGGGTCGTAGTCAACTCTCTACCTCAGCTTGATTGTCACTGGAAAGGCGATTCACAGCGTCAGTAGTGAAGTAATTTGTAAACTGCTTCAAAACTACGCAAAGTAGTTCTTCAAACAATTACAAATTTTGTTCGACACTTATATGATTATGTCACACATCAGTCAAGTCACAACGGTAGTATGCCGAAGCATTTGCAATGAAAACAGGAATGAGACAAGTCTGTATACTAACACTGGTGACCTTCCTGATTGTGGTAGACTAGACCATGTGACAGTCAGTGAGGAGTGAGAAGACGAACATACAGTGGATTGAAGAAATGTCATCACAAGATCTGAATTTTGTGGGCGATTTATGTAACATATCGAAAAAAACTCGAAGATGTGCAAGATACCAAAAGGCTGTCACCAGAGACAGAGAAGACACAACTTCAGGTAAACATAAAGAAAGCAAAAGTGGCGAAGATACCCGAACACCAAGAACAAACATCAATCATCATCAACAGCAGAAATCTCAAGGAAATCATCTCCTTCACTCACCTAACTCGGGAAACATCGTTTCAACTACTGACAGGTGGCACGGACGACTATGTCAACGATAGGATAGGGAAATTAAAACAGGTTTACACTACTCTGAAAATCAATAATTTGAAAAACTTCCTCAAGTAGATTCCTTTAAACCTCAAGTATTTGTTTCACTGTTACCTAGTCACATCTATTGTGTTAGGGTTAGTGGTATTGCCTAGGTCATTGTTAGAGTAAGAGATTTTACATTCAAATCATCCAGATCAAAAACTTCAAAATTAGTGAGTGAACAAGTTTAAAACGGGACTGTGTATATAATACCATATAACTGAAAACCTCTAGTCAGTAAACTTAAAAAAAAAAACAACTTAACAACCATTTACTTGGCTTAATAACTCAGCTGCACAGTTATATGAATGTTCCTGGAAACCTGTCCGTCAGCATTTATGGTGTGCACCATAGTCACTAAGGAATCATAAGCCTGTTGAACAAACTGTCTTGCCTACTTGGCAGCTAACATTGCTAACTTTGTATCTTTATCAGATTTAAACGATAGGAATGCCAATGAATACCATCAAAAGCTGATAACTCCTTAATATCATCTACCGTATTTCACAGATGTAAAGTGCAATACAGTAGACTGATGAGTAGTGCACTCACCTCTTGATCATAGAGAAGATCATATGTAGAGGGAATTAAATCTTTTGGGAAGTCACTAGATGAAAATGATTACAAAAAAACGACTGTAGTGGAGATGTGCAGCTGAAGCCCTGTGTCCCACTCGGAAAGTAGGGAATGAATATTGATAACGAAAATAACGCAGGTCCTGTGGCATGGAATACTTCACCTATTTCCTCAGGCTACTAAGCAGTGTAGTACACAGTGTAAGTTATTTCTCCAGCACAGTGACATACTTCTGGTCTATTATCATATTTTCCACCAAGACATTCTGCTTCCAAAAAAATTCTCTACCTGATTCTACAATTCAGTGGAGAGTCATCGGCAGAAATAATGAGAAACCTGCTGTCCCGCTCACTGAAGAAAACCTTCTTCGTGGCTGAACCTTGACTAACCTTCACTACGAGATCAAAGTTTCTCATGGACGTGAAGGATAAGCCACCTCTGTTGGCCTCAACAATGTGCAACTACCAATTCACCTGCTTGTGTAGAGCTAGACATATCGGCCGTATTCAGCGTTCGCTATCCAAACGTATCATCGAACACTTATCCTCATGGTTTTAGAAAAAAGGTCCCTACGAATCTCTATTCTGGAACACCTGATCGAATTCGGACACCAAGCAGACCCTCAAAACAACTTCAAAAATATCTAGAGAATACACTGGAATCTTCCTAAAGGAGTACGAATCAAACTTATTCAAACCACGGAAGCAATGGCACTTCACATGTTAAACCCTGAACTCTGCATACGAAAGAAGTTTGTTCTGTTATTAAATCTACAATAGACCTGACCTATCTTAACAGCATATACGTAATTTCTGTTTCATATTTTTCTTGCTTGTTTGTTTCTTAATAGTATTATTTCCCAACCCCCATGCCTTATTTCCACTGTTGCTAACTTGACTTTCGCTCAGTTTTAATTTTGGTTGAGCTCTACTCAATCCGGTCAACTGGATTACGTTACTTAGCTTGCTTAGTTAACCTTATTTTAGTCTCTTATCAGTTAACGAAATTTACAATTCTAGTGACACCATACTCTGAAGTATTCTTTTTGTTGCTAAGACAACTTACTATATTTATCTATGGTTGTAGAACTTGAGAATGATATCGCCGAAATAAGTAACTCTTTACTGAACGCCTTTTCTTTTATATCACACTTTCCTTTTTTTTTCTAAAAATGTGGTATCTTGAACTGATACAGTTCAGTGGCAAGCTGCATGTTGATTACTTAGTGTTAGTCAGTCAGACTGTGAAAAAGCAAATAGTTTGCATGCAAAAACAGTCCTAATATTTAGGCAGAGCTATCGTCATTTCAGGTATCGTATCAGATATTCCACCAAATACTAATGCTAAACAGAGCATGAGACACGAACCTGAAACTTTTAAGCACTAATATTTCTGAGTTTCCTTAGTAGAAGAACACTGGGTTACTATGTGGAGCCCATTAATAAGAATCCTTTCATGACCAGTGCTTTTAATTTTCTTTCATTTATCATCACATCACTTTAACACTGGTTTTCCAAAATAAGCTTGTCTTTAAATCAGATGGAAGAACTGTACTGAATAAGAGGGATAATTTCCAAGACAGCCTTCCTTTGTATATGCCTTTATATACATTATCAGAATGATTAAGTCAGGAGAACTGACAACCTATTAACTCAAAGAAACTCAATAGCCTTGAATTTTCAAGTATTGGTTTTGTAGGGATTTTGTTTGATTGAATGGAGGGTTTCATCATGAGCTGACATCAGTTAGAGAACCACTGGAAAGCTTGGGAGTGCTGGACAACTGTTTCGTCCTAGTTTGGGACTCCTCGTCAGTACGCATCTACGAAGAGTCCCAAACTAGGATGAAACAGCTGTCCAGTACTCCCAAGCTTTCCAGTGGTTCTCTAACTGATGTCAGCTCATGATGAAATCTTTCATTCAATCCTTGAATTTATTGCAAACTACTCTGCAGTACTAAACGTGCTTGGGTCATGAGCTGGCAGCCATAGGGTTTGTTACTGATGGAGTCATAGATGCATACTGACGAGGTAGACCAGGCTAAGTTGAAACAACGGTTCAGTACGCCTCGAATTTCAGGAACGCGTTAATTAATATCGATTTGGGATGAAATCTACCTAGAAATCCATCACTTCCTTACAAAGCCAGCAACTGAAAACAGTTTTAGTGGAACTATAAAATGAAATAATAATTCAGAATCAATTTTGTAAAATTATTTACTCAGTTTTAACACAACAAAATCTTAGGTAGGTAAGAAAGTAAGCATTGAACTCAATCTCAAAAAAATTTGTTAGGATCTGATTGGTTATTTGATTTATCGATCCAGGTCATATAGGTCATGAGTTCATGCCTATTCATCATTATTCTTTATAATCATTCAATATATTTTTTGTGATCTCATTTTGAGTGACGTCATCCATTCTATGATATCGGGTTCACTTGTGAATACTTTTTATTGATATCATGCAGAGCAGTTATATTAAAGATCGACAAGAGAAAATAAAATTGAGATTATACCGTTTTGTAGGAATTTGGATAAACTGTAAAGTATATTTCATCACTTAAACAGTAACAGTTATAGATTATTCAAAACCAAGGAGCACTGAACAGCTATTTTGTTATAGCTTAGGACTCTTCATCAGTACACACGCATGACCCCACCATGGACCGAACCCAAAATCTTCAGGGTACAAGGTCCAGCTTGCTGACCATTCAGCCACTTTTGCCTGAGTTCAATGACCCATGAATTCTAAATTTGTCAATGAGCTTGGTCTCCTAACCCGAAGGTCCTCGGTTTGATCTTTGGCGGGGTCGTGGGTGTGAATTCTTGAAGAGACTCAGGTTAAGCCGAAACAACTGCCCAATGCTCCCAGGTTTTTAATGGCTCTTCAACTGATATTAGTCTGTGATCAAACTTTAGACAAATCAAATCCCTAGAAACTGACACTTAAAAATTGAACACTTATAATATTAATCATCCATGAAGAGAAAATCGAGTATTCATTGCTGATGAACTCTGAAACTTAACCCCTGTAGTTATGGCAGGCAACAGATTCACCCATCAGTGATATTAGATTACGTAGGTTGTGCTACATGTGCTACTACCTAGAAGATGGCGAAAATTATGCGCCAATGGATTTCGACTACATAAACAAAAAATAGTGTACTTGGCTTGAACCACTACACAGTTATTTTTTTAACACATGAGGTGATACCCAATAGCATTCAATTAAGATGAAATAACGGTTAGGGTTGGTTAATCTTGACTTCCAACAGCTCTTTAACAGATAAAATCAACCTAGAAATGAAGCATATTCTAAATTGTATAAGTATTCAGGCTAAATTACAACCAGCGATATAAGGTACATAAAAATCAACTCACATGGGGATGGAACGTACATGCTGTAAGATCAGTGAACATAGAGCAAACATCGTTCACTTCACTTTTTTTCGAATTATCCTACATTTCTTTATCTGAAAGTATAATATATTGTAATTATGATTAACTAGCAGATTAGCTCCTATGTTAATTTCAGCAATTTAATAATGAAATTACAAACCGTATAAAAGGGAGAATAACTTTATAGAATCATCAGATGTAAGCTCAATGAATTTTCGATATCGACTACTTACTGTCCTGATTTAGGCGCACTTAACTGATAGAGTATTTACACCATTCATCACAGTGCTCTAATAAGATAAATTTCTGTTAATATTATTATTATTCCCTTGGGTTCCAAGTGGAATATAGGGCTTCAACTGCACGTCTCCACTTGCTTCTGTCTTCTGCTGTACTTTTCACCTGCATCCATTATAGTCCATACTGTTTCAACTCCTCTTCACACGATCTCTTCCATGTCACCCTTGCACTGACGTCTCACTCACCTTTTGGGTTCCACTCGAGTAATGGCCTGACGCGCGATGTCACCCAGCGGTCTCCTCAGCGAGTGTCCAATTCATCTCCATCCACTTTCTCCTGCATATTTGTTGGGCGATTGGTTCTTGTTTTGTTTGTTTCTTCCCATAGTTTCTTGTTTCCTGTTGGTGATTCTTTCCGGCCCGGCCATCTGATCTTGAGTATAGAGCGAAGACAGTTGTTAATAAAGGTTTGCAACAAGCTGTTGGAAATATTCTTTGTGACCCGTCCGCCAAGTTTCTGATCCGTATAGAAGAACTGACTGACTTGACGTTTGTATTGAAAATCCTACCGAATTTTGTTGCTGATGCTGAGTGACGAAGATTTCCAGATTGGTTTCTGGTTGATGAATGTGTTTCTCGCCTTCCCCATCTTTATTTTTACTTTCATCGAAAAAAGGCATATCGGCTGACTGGCTTCCCGAAGGCTTTCACCAGCCTCCATCATTTCACTTCCCCAATTCCAGCGAAAAATAAGGTTTATATTTTTATATTTTTAGAATTTTTAATATATTTGTGCGTTGAAGTTTCCGTAGCGATTCGGTTACGTTTTGGAGGTGGAGTTGCTAGCACCACGCCCCAACCCTCCCTCTTTATCCGGGCTTGGGACCTGCTAGAAAACTAGCGAGCTAGTAATCTAGGCGAGGTTTCTGTTAATATACACCCTCAATAACTATGATTCTTGAAATACATACTTTTGCATGTGGGTATTTAAAATGATTATTTTCTCTTAACTTTATTTACCTAGTTATTGGCCGATTAAGCATTGAGTTACATTCAGTAATATACACTGTTCATTTCTTTGCATTCCTAGTAGAACGTAGGGTATCAGCACCACATTTATGTTCCTCCTTAGTTATCGGCCATCACTTACAAATAACTCTACGACTGCCCACAAGATTTCATTTCCCCCCCCTCACATGATCCTCACGTCATCCTCAGAAGCCCTACTTGTCGCTTCCTATTCGGGTTTCACTCGAAGGCCTGGTGTGTGATGTCACTCAAATGTTTCCTGAGAATATGTCCAATCCTCTAAACCATACTGAAGCAATGACTGACTTGACATAAGTGAAAAGAATTCTATGACTTTTCTTAGCGCTTAGTGCTGTAGATCTCGGCTTTATATTAATAAAAACCTCTGTTTCATTGCACACCCCATCCTGATAGCTTTCAAATCTTCATTCACGTTACCTGTATTTGAAATGAAGCTACCTAGTTAAGTAAAGGAGGTGGCTTTTTGAAATTTCTCTAACTGATGAAGATTGACGCCTGTTGTTATTTGATGGGTACCTCCATTATATTTGTCTTCTATATGTTCACTTGAAGTGCTTGTAGTCTTCACTGACTCTTCTGATGACATTTGTTTGTGTCAAAGTATGTCCGCTCGCTATCTGCAGCATTATCTAGTCCACCACAGTGAGGAGCATCATCAGTGTTGGTAAACAGTCTTGTCTCACCCCTATCCTCACTTCAAAGGGCACCCTAAGATTTTTCCTATGAACTATTATGCATGAGGAATCATCATGTAGCTGTTGAATACGGCTTATAGACGTTTAGAGAACTGAGCTCCGTAGTAGTGAAGTAATGGGGAAATTACCCCACTATCACTGCTATCGAAGACCTTTACAAAGTCTTTGAAGTTGAATTGATGAGTTCACTGCCTTTCTATGCTGTATTCGATGAAGATGATGTACAGAGTTGCAATTTGTCCTATGCATGACATGTTCTTCCTGTATCTATGTTTCTGGAGAAGTCGTCTATCCAGAGCATCTTTTGGGCTTTCCAGGATGACACCGCCTAGTATTTGGTCTGACGTGGAGGGAAGCACGATTCCGTTCAGTTTTTTTAAAGGATTGACCTACCCTTTTTGGAAGTTTCACAAGGTAACCACTCTCGAAGGCGGTGGGCTCCATTCCTTTCTCCTACATCTGCTGCAATGATAGCGTGAGCAAGTCTGCTGAGATGTATGGGTCCGTTTTCAGTGCTTCTGGGTGGATTCCACGTGGTCTTGATGTTCTTCAGGCTATTAGTAACTTGATGGCCTTCAAAACTTCGATGTTCACTGGTGGTGCATCTGGATTAGTTGCTTTTGTTGGTCGATTGAAGTGATCGTTTCATTTTGTCCCACCTTTTTGGTAGTCTGGTTTCCTTCACTATGATTCACTCATTTCATCTGTGTTGACATCTTCAAGGATAGCCGGCTAGTTATTTTATATGCGTTTACGAATTTCCCCTAACATGCGGCCTGTTCCTTCTCAAATGTTCATTACAAAAGCGTCTTTCGTCTTTCCTAGCTATCCTTTTCCTTTTTTCTGTGTACTGTAGACTATATTCAGGTTCTTTCGTCTCTGTTTATCCTTGCATTCGTTAACTTTCTCCTACACGACCTTCTTTTCCTTTCTTAGATTCTGGATGCTGATAGTGTACCCTTACTCTTCTCACATCTTCTCCCTCCCTGAAATGCATATACAGATTTCCTTCCACGATGCTTATAGACAGTCCCAGTGGTTTTTCACATAGATTTCATCAGTTATGCTATACAGTGTTTCTAACTTTGTCCTAATAACTTTAGGGAAGGGGCCCTTTGCTTCATTTTTCAGTTTCTAGATGTCGAAATTGAATTTTGGTCAATCTCTCACTTCTCTGAAGCCTTTCAACTTGGCCTTGAAGGTTCTTTGCACTAAATGATGGTCTGAGCCCAAATATTCTCCTCTTCTAGACTTTATTTCCTGCAGACGACTTCTCTATTTTCAGACTGAGATAAAACCTATCTGATTTTTGGTGTGCCCATCTCGTGAGATTCTTGTCTCTTTGCGTATATCCCTGGGGTTGTACAGGCTGCCTCCAATTACCAAAACAATAAGGATCCAGAGATCTGCGAAGGGTTCTGCGTTATCATCTATTCCTCTGACCGACTCCAACCTATGAGGATTCCTTGCCCTGTGTTTTCCGATTAGAGTTCTCTTGGCAATCATACCACTCACTGGGATTTTGATATCACCATTCGGGATTTCGTTCTTTACCACTTGGCGTTATCTAGAGAATTACTCCTTCTTCTCTTGGCCTGAGCTGTTTGTAAGTACGTAGCACTGAATAACTGTAACTTCACTTCATTTCGAATTGAATCTTGCTGTCACGAATCTGGAAGAGATTGTTTCCCAGTGCACGGGAACCTCCTATGGTGTTGGTGATATCATGATGACCACTAGCTAAGTATGCTTGTGGGCAACTGGAGTAGATTATTGACTCTTCAGTTAACAATCTCGAGAATTCACTTCTATTCAACCTGTTGTCATGCATTCCTAACACTTTTAAAACGCACCTTCTTATTTTGAGATTCAGGCAATCTTGTCAGACTCAAACATAGTGTGGACATTCTGTGTCTCTAGGCTTACTTTTACTTTCATCTAAAGAAGACAAGTCAATTGACTGTCTTCCCGAAGGCATAAACTTAAGCCATAAGTTCTTCCACTTTTTCTTATTCCCACTATACTTTAGCACAGATTACAGCGTACTATCATTAGTCTTTGAACAGTCAACAACTTAGTTGTATAAATTCTAAGTGTATTCTAACATACTTATGTAACCGTTTTATCCTTATAGTTGCCAGTCAAAATTAGGTAAATTATAGGATCAAAAAAGCCGAATTCTTTGATAAAGCTTATTTCTGTCGTTGAATATTGATTTTCACAGACAATGAAGGTTACTGATATCCTATTTAACCATATGTTCTAACCAATACAAATTTTCAAATCTATACAAAGGTCATAATCATTTTCATTCTGAACCTGACCTTTTAATTGTGCAAATCACAACAACAGACATTCTACTACCGATATGATCTTAAACATGTGCGTGCATGTGTTAGTCTGATCCTGGTTCATATCTGTTCATATTTGTGTACCCATCGTGCATGTATGTGTTCATGTTCATGAAGAAAAGTACAGTTGTTTATTGATTGATAAACTCACCATTTGATACAATAATTATTCTGACATCCAACTAATCATATAGTCGTACTTATTATGCAATACTATTCTAAACTGGCTCAATTATTTCGATGCAACAGGGTGTATAGGTGACATTAGTGATGACGATTATGTTGCCAGTAGTGAAAACGTTTAGTGTGCATTATACATAATATGAAAATATGCTATCAAGAATACAGAATAATTAGTCGACAACTTTCATGGTTTGAAGAAACCAATTAAAAAGTTCTTCTTAGCTTATATTAATTGAAATATGTACTACTTGTTGATAAGTCTTTCTGAAATGCGCTGAATGATTTACTTCATTTATACTGAAACCGAATAAAATGCCTTAAAATAAGCTGTGAAAAACACTGAAAAACATACTCACGAATAAGCAGTAGTAACATATATGCACACCAACAGTATCGGTAAAGGTAAACAGCGAATAGACTAATCCGTCACTAGAGAGTACACACTGTCATGTGTCTACTCCTCACAGTTGATGGTGACTGAATACTCTTATTGGCTAAGACAATCGATTTTCAGCCAACAGGCCACAGGTTTGAATTTTACTGCACCTAATTCAGT